TGCTATACTTTGACATCTATTCAAACACCGAATAATCTCTCAATTCCATTAGTTTATGCTGAAATATCAAATCTATTTTCTGAAGAAACTATTTCGCAAGAACCTAAAATTGATTATTAGATAAATTGGGGTAGAAAAATAACTTAGACTAAGTCTTGCCTATTGGTCGGCTAGACTAATATTCTACCAGATTATATAGTAAAGAAAGGAATAAGTTAGCCATAGCAATTTTATTTTGAAAAGAATAGCTTAGAGTAATAGGTATCTGAGACATGTCCTATGGAATTATTATATGCCATTACTCCTGATAACTGATCTAGTCTTCAAGTTACTTTAAATTACACATCAGCTATTAAAAATATATTCTCTATTTAAGATACTTAAAGTCTCACTTTAAGTTCTTACAAATACAAATTGCACACCAGAGAGACAAACAAGTACCTCTTTTACGAATAATACTTTAACATTACACCCAAGTGTGATTACTCTTATTTATAAAATTCAGAGAGCCTCTAATTAAGTTAGTTTTGTTAAAATGGAGAAAGTTAATTTACAATTAATTTATCAAGCATAATTGATCAATCTGTAACTGAATGCCCATTGATGATTTCAATCAATGATAGTGCTTAATCAGAAGCTTAGATAATAAATCGAAGAATCTTAGCTACAGTAAAAACTAAGGTGATAAAATTAGACTAAATGACTGGATTAATTGAGATTGCTTGTCCTTAAATAGACTCTGATAATTTACTTGATTTTTATATCTCATTCGCTGATTAGGCTAATACACCACTATTGTCTATAGGGCTTCAGATTTCTGCTTTCAAAAGTTCATAGAATACTCCTCCTAAAATTATATAGGAAATACTGAATTAACTTTATAAGTAAAATCTAGCTGATTAATTAGCAGATTGCTTGCAGTTAGATCAAACATTTAATATCTAACTTACTTAGAATATCGATGCTGCCTCTAGATATGATTTACCTTAATGTGCAAAAGACTTCATATTAAAAAATGATCTTAAAGTAGTTATAGAATCAGGAAGAGCTTCTTCATTCATTTCAATAGAAGGTTACACAATCTATATTATGCCAAAAAGTAAAGATGCTGGTATCTATACTCTATTTATTAAGTTGACATTTAAAAATGGAGAAGTCGCAAAGTAGCTTTCCTTAAATTTCAATGTGCTATAGGAAAATAACTCTAATTCAGATGATAATAAGCAAGATTATTGCATCTAACTCAAAGAATGCTTTATCAAAATTAAATAGATAGATAGTTAAGGCCTCACTTGGATAGTTTTTTCTAATGGATTACTAGGCTACCAGCAGCTAAATTATACTGAAGTTCAGAAGTCTTTGAGATTATTTTGGATTGATTAATCATATGATTAGGATTCAGAGTAAGAAATATATGAATTTAAAGTAAAAAATATTACACATGATACAATAAAGATATAATTGTATTTTAATAGTAGCTAGATTTTAAAACTAAATAGCGTAAGTATAGAACAAATTTAAATAAAAATTAATAGGCAAACCAAGATAAGCTCAAAGTCGAGTTTGCTAATAATAAGTTGTTCAGAACGGCTTAGATGACTCTTTATTTTGCTCAAAATTACATTGTGCTAAAGCCATTGCCGATTTTGGAAGCTAATTCAAGTAAGTTCATTACTACTCATAATTAAGTTAATAATATATCTGTTTTAGCAATGATGGAAACATTCAAGAATACTTTTAAGTTTTTTGGAAATGCAATATAGGCTGGAATTTACATAAATATGCTACTATAAGTGCTACTTGGATTTACAATGAAAAGAATTTGGACTCTTGTTAACGCTTTGTAGATTATTTCTCATATACCTCTACTAGCACTTAGTATACCTTCAAACTTAATGATATGCCTGCAATCTATAATTGACATTTCTAATTTAAATTTAATTCCACCAGAACTCTCAA